TATAATCCAACTTCTTGCTAATCCAGGTTTACGCTTAAGCGTATGCCTAGCAGTAAGCTGAAGTCTAGTTGGAGTGAACAAAGGTAAAACATATCGGTGTAGATTGGTATACCACATGACGTTTATAGATTGACTGATATGCTAGATATTTGGATTTCTTCTGCGTTATGCATCTGGTGGGATAGCATAACGCTGATGTTTGATGAATAAAATGAGCAAAATAAAACAAATGAATGAATACGGTATAATGTTTGTTCGAAATATGAAGTGTTGAAAAATTAAATTTAGAAAATAACTTTTGTTTCATATAATGCACAGATTAAATACACAATCCTAAGTGACAAATGGGTTTGAGGTGGCACGAAGTAAATTTTTTGAGATAATAGTACTCAAGTTAATCACTCGAGTTAATCAAAGTCGATCAGATCAAGCAACGATAACAGTAGCAGCAGCAGCAACAACAACACCTAAAACCGAGATGCTGAGGACAATGATGGAAGATAAATAAACCGATGATTAAATAAATAATTTTGTTCACAATGAAGTTATTCACTGTAAACCAAGCGAACCTAAGCTCAATAAGCACGTATAAGTAAGTATGTCACGTCGCATACTACCACTAACTAGTTGTTCTTAATCAACGAATACTGAAAAAAAGAAAGAAAAACGGAGAAAGTTTGGAGAGGATGAACAGATGGATGAATGACTGAATGGATTTTGCTTCACATTCTTTCGCAACCCAATCAAAAATTGAGCATTGCTTGGAAGAAAAAGAAAATAAAAAACTTTATTCATTCGATAATGAGGGACGAGATAAGATAAAAATGAAGTAATAAAACAAGAACGAAGCCAAAAACACAAAAAAAAATTAAAAATAGCTCATGCATTGTTGAATCGATGCAATCCTTCAGAACATTCTCAAGTAGCAACCAAACAATTCTATGTTCAAACAACCACCCATCAATGTGAAGCATTCATCCGATGATATCTCTCCTCATCAAATGGCTAGTTCCATATATTCAATGAACTTGCCATGTATGTTTCTGGCTGCGGAAGCATATCCTATCAGGTCTGTATATGTTTAGGCGAGCAGTGATAACGCAAAAACATTGAAAAAGGAACAAAGTATGAACTAGTTCAAATCCAAGCTTAGACTTAGCTTCAGGCTAACACTTAGATTCAAGCCCAGGACACCCACCATTCAACACTATTTTAAACTGTTTCAATCCGATTGTCCATAGTTTTCAAGAGACGAATGAAACACGTAAATATCAAATGCACATTGAGAATAATTATCAGCTCACAAAATACTGAACGTGAAGTGCCATTGTACATTGAACGAAATCAAATGAATGATTTGAAGAGGCAACAAGAATATGATCGACAAATAACCATAACATCATTCAATCATAGAAGCGATCAGCGAAGACTTTGTCAATCAGTCGAAATCAATTCACTGATCACTTACCAGTCAGCCGGCCAGCCTTCCAACCAAGCAAACTGCCAATTCGAACGTAGTTGTTAACGAATAATTTTTCATATCCACTCGTTATCTGAGCATTATTTGTTCGTGCTGATGGCTTACGCTCTACATGTATATATATATATATATA